TTCTGTTGTTGCATTGGGCCTGTTAGTGTTTTGTTTGCTGTTTCCCCACCCCTGTGTCGGTCTGTTTTTGGAACGTCCCGGCGGTATAGAACTTCCTGTGTCCCTTGACGGACAAGAAAGATAATCGGATTTTGGTACTCCCCATGAATTCCCAATTGAGGGTCACATGTCTCCCCTATCTGTGATTATGACCGTGCTCTCAGTACTCATTGGCTACAAAAAAACTGATGGTGGGAGGGGTTATCCTGGACCGGCCCACAATTTTTTTTTGTCCAAGCTTTCAGTAGACAACAGTATAACCCAACGGCATGTGACTTCCTGTGTCCCTCGGTGGACTCCAAGGAAAGGATTTTGCAGTGAATGCACCATGCACTGGGAAAGGCAAACTCCGGCCCTCCAGCTGATGTGGAACTACAAACCCCATGAGGCATTGCAAGACTGACAGCCACAGGCATGACTCCCAGAGACAGATGCATCATGGGATTTCTATTTTTTCATCACAGCTGGATGGCCGGCGTTTGCCTAACCCTGCTACTAGGTGTATAGGGAGGTGCCTGCATGAATACTGATGGTAGTCAGCCCCCCCCAATGACCTCTCTGCATGGCTGGTATCAGAGAAGGGCACAGGAGCGCTCAGCCCACAGCTCTGCTATGGGAACTGATGAGCTCAGAAAGAATATCCATGAACACTCTCTGACTGTATGTGATCCCTCTGGGAGATATGTGGCAGCACTGGACCAATAGGAATAAGGATGGAGTCTGGTGTACATCCTAATGAGTGGGGGGGGGGGTGTTCTCCTTGAAGGAGGTGTACCTGTGATGGGAGGTACGGTGTGTGGGGACCTGAATCTGGTCATTGGCCGCAGACTCTCTGATCCCGATGGAGGAATCTTCACCAGAAGATCGAATCCTGGAAATGTGGTGAAAACGTCTCACTTGGAAATTTGCAGCTGACATGTTTCAGGGGCCAGGCCTCCCTTATTCAGGGCTCTTATGCAAAGAACAAGATGATATTTATGGTTCGGGCTCCATTTTTTTCGTCTTTGTGTGCTAAGCTCTGCATGTACAGGGACGGCTTCGGGGGCCTTGTGTTCGAGGATTTTGTTTGGGGGGGTGGAGGGGGGGTAGGTACAGATGCGCTGTACAAGCCCTGAGGTACCCATAGATATAAATGACAAATCAATGCAATTATGATGTTTTTTTTGTATTTTGCCGATTTTCAGAGATATCCGTTTCCATAGAAATCGTTTTATTGATCAGATTGAAGTGTTCTTAAACCCTCGTTGCGTCCTGTACTTCTATTGTCCTCCTCCCCTTTGTCTGTGCAGCCCCGTGCCTCCTGTACTTCTATTGTCCTCCTCCCCTTTGTCTGTGCAGCCCCGTGCCTCCTGTACTTCTATTGTCCTCCTCCCCTTTGTCTGTGCAGCCCCGTGCCTCCTGTACTTCTATTGTCCTCCCCTTTGTCTGTGCAGCCCCCTGCCTCCTGTACTTCTATTGTCCTCCTCCCCTTTGTCTGTACAGCCCCGTGCCTCCTGTACTTCTATTGTCATCCTCTTTGTCTGTGCAGCCCTGTGCCTCCTGCACTTCTATTGTCCTCCTCCCCTTTGTCTGTACAGCCCTGTGCCTCCTGTACTTCTATTGTCCTCCTATTAGGTACCTGGTGTTGAGACCGAAGGTATGAGGAGGCTCCACTTGCACCCCGTGTCTTGTGGCCTTTGAGATTGGGGACAAAGGCCAGTCGGACAATGAGTGGCACGAGGGCTTTTGGTAGATCCAGTAATCGATGTCAAAACAAGCCGGGGTCAATAGCCAGGAGATCCGATGCGGTACAATAAGGAGCAGGCAGAAGAATATCCAGAAAACAGTCCGAGGTCAATAAGGCAGGCAGCAAGCAAGGATAGTCGGCAAAACAGGAACAAATCACAATCCAGAGAGATCAGGAGAATACAGGATACACGGAACACACACAAACTGGAAAGACAAACCAGCAACTAGTGGGCGTTTGAGCTGGGTTTAAATAGGGCTGTGAATCTATCTATGACGCCACTTCCTGTGCGCCACTTGGCGCGGATTTCCGCACGGCACCTCCGACTGCGCATGCGTGTTTGTTCTCAGCTGCGCATGCGCATGTTTGTTCTCAGCTGCGCCTGCGCGTGTTCGTTCTCCGCTGCGCATGCGCAGAGCGGGACTTTTGCTGACACCTCCTCCCCTTTGTCTGTACAGCCCCGTGCCTCCTGTACTTCTATTGTCCTCCTCCCCTTTGTCTGTACAGCCCCGTGCCTCCTGTACTTCTATTGTCCTCCTCCCCTTTGTCTGTACAGCCCCGTGCCTCCTGTACTTCTATTGTCCTCCTCCCCTTTGTCTGTACAGCCCCGTGCCTCCTGTACTTCTATTGTCCTCCTCCCCTTTGTCTGTGCAGCCCCGTGCCTCCTGTACTTCTATTGTCCCCCTCCCCTTTGTCTGTACAGCCCCGTGCCTCCTGTACTTCGTGTACTAGCGTGAGGAATCATGGGACATGTAGTCATATCACAGCAGTTCATCTGATGTTATAACAATGGACATGCATGCACATGGTTGGCTGGGTGCAAAGAATCATGGGACATGTAGTCCCATTGTAGGAGGTCACCTGATCTTATTACAATGGGCATGCTTGCATTTTTTGGGATGGGCAGGAGGTCACCTGATGCTGTTGGAGCGGGTACGCATGCTCATTATGGGCTGAGCGTGAGGAAACATGGGACACGTAGTGCAAAATGTTCCCGTACACACCGGCGTTACACATGCTGAAGCCTATGCGTACCAGGGTGATGGAGAACACAGCCATGCAGGTGGGATGTCCTCATGGGGACACCGTAGTATAGACTTGGACAACAACCGAGACGTTTCTGTGTTGCCGCGGTTCTGAGAACAGTCATTGTGTGATCTCGGCTCGTATGTAACGTTGTGGAAGATTTGTAGAGACGCATTGCCGGCCTTGTTTCAGATGTTATATCCCGGCCGCCATGATAATAAAATCTCTGTGTGTAGTCCGCTGTGTCCTGCGTGTTCTTGTGGCCGGAGAGTCCTTCATTACCGAGCTGACCATAGACCTGAGACGGGGGCTGAACATGCCGCTGCTCTCCTCACCGAGCAATCTTATCTCCTCCATTCATGGAAAGACGCGGAGAAGACCTTTAAATCCTGACTAGGGATGACCCGGTTCCATCCAGGACTAGGGATGACCTTGTTCCATCCAGCACTTTAGGATGACCCGGTTCCATCCAGGACTAGGGATGACCCGGTTCCATCCAGGACTAGGGATGACCCGGTTCCATTCAGGACTAGGGTTGACCTGGTTGCATCCAGGACTAGGGATGACCCGGTTCCATCCAGGAATAGGGATGACCTGGTGCCATCCAGGACTAGGGATTACCCGGTTGCATCCAGGACTAGGGATGACCCGGTTCCATCCAGGACTAGGGTTGACCTGGTTGCATCCAGGACTAGGGATGACCCGGTTCCATCCAGGAATAGGGATGACCTGGTTCCATCCAGGAATAGGGATGACCTGGTTCCATCCAGGAATAGGGATGACCTGGTTCCATCCAGGAATAGGGATGACCTGGTTCCATCCAGGAATAGGGATGACCTGGTTCCATCCAGGAATAGGGATGTCCTGGTTCCATCCAGGACTAAGTATGACCTGGTTCCATCCAGGAATAGGGATGACCCGGTTCCATCCAAGACTAGGGATGACCCGGTTGCATCCAGGACTAGGGATGACCTGGTTCCATCCAGGAATAGGGATGACCTGGTTCCATCCAGGAAAATGGATGAACTGGTTCCATCCAGGAATAGGGATTAGGGATGACCCGGTTCCATCCAAGACTAGGGATGACCCGGTTGCATCCAGGACTAGGGATGACCTGGTTCCATCCAGGAATAGGGATGACCTGGTTCCATCCAGGAATAGGGATGACCCGGTTCCATCCAGGAATAGGGATGACCCGGTTCCATCCAGGACTAGGGATGACCCGGTTCCATCCAGGACTAGGTGTGACCTGGTTCCATTCCATGACCTGGTTCCATCCATGTCCAGCTCCTCCGATCAAGGAAATGCTATGGGCCCTTCCGCCCTATCAGCTGCGGGGCTTGGTATTCACCAGGACTAGGGATGACCCGGTTCCATCCAGGACTAGGGATGACTTGCTTCCATCCAGGACTAGGGATGACTAGCTGTCAATCAGGCTGTGCGGTGGATCCCAACAACATTGTCAGGATCTCTACCGGCTACAGTGCGGCTCTGTGCTGTCAGCATATAGCAGGCAATAGCCCGCTATGTGCTGAGTTTTGGGCTAGTAATTATATTCCTGTGACCCAAAAGAGAACTAATGCCAAAAAAAGGTTTGGCCATAGTTTTCTTTTAATACATCTTCTTTTCAAGAAGAATGTATTGTGATGTAATACCGCATAGTGGCCACTAGATGGAGCTGAGAAGCAAAGACAATGTACATTGTGGTACCTGTTGTACCTGTGTTGGGGTTCTGCTCTAAGAAAGAAAAAAAGGCCCTGCAAAGCACCACACAGAGCGCCATGTGCTTTACCACAGCACAGTAACTCATCAATGGAAGGTGGACTGCCACTGCACTGAGTCCAGGCTGTACAAGTCAACCTGCAGATTGCACAATTCTTCCAGTTGACCAAAAGGAAGAGCAGCAACCAGAGGCCCGGAATGGAGAACAGAGCAGAACCAGAGGCCCAGAATGGAAAACAGAGCACAACCAGAGGCCCAGGCCCCAGAATGGAGAACAGAGCAGAACCGTGGTGCTGAGATCGCTGGGTATGCCTTCTCCTCTAGCAGCCAATCACAGGCCGCCTCAATATCTGAACCCGCACGAGCGCGGCTCAGGGCGCTTTGCTGATTGGCAGGAGGCGGGATCAGAGTCAGGGCGGAAGTGTCTTCTCGACGGCCTCCAGTTGCTGGCGTGGCTGTGCAGCGCACCGTAGAGATGCCCGGAAGTGCGGCTAGAGCGGACACATTTGGGTTACTGAGGGTGAGTGCTGCTTGTTTATCTTTATTACGTTTTAATCCAAACGATAAAGCAGTATATATAATATGTGATATAGTATAATAAGACATAGCAGAGTTCAGCTTATACAATAATATGTTATGTATAGAGTATAGGGTAATGCAGTAGTAGTAGGGGTGGCACTGTACAATTATATCATCATAGATGTGTCGTCATCAAATAACATTGGATGGTATTATGAACTAATCTCCAGCATTGCTATACTATATGACACAATGTTGACCATGTGATACAATGGCGGAGAGAGCAGAGTGTATATCTGGGGGCATCACTGTACTCTATTATTATACATTCATATGTAAATCCCAGCTAGGGATGCACCAATACTGGTTTTTCGTTATTGAGTACGAGTACTAATATTTTGCTTTTGGTACACACCGGTACCGATACTGGTGCTTCTGCCAGTTTCCAAGCGACTCAGCATCCAGCCGGCTGCTGGCTGCCCAGCCAATCAGCATGGTGCTGGCTTCCCGGGCCAATCAGGAAGCCAGGATGGGGGTCATTACTCGCCACCCAGCTTCCTAATTGCCCAGGAAGCAGGCTCCACTGCCAAACAGAGGAAATGTTCCTCTGACTGGAAGTTCCGGAATCGGGTAAGGTATTGGAGCACTTGGGCGAGTACGAGTACTTACCCAAATACTAGTATTGGTATTGGTGTATCCCTAATTATTATACATTTATATATCTCTGACATATACCGCAGTGCTGTACAGAGAACACTGAGCCAGTCACATCAGTCTCTGTACAGAGGAGCTTACACTCTAATGTTCAATATTTTGTCATACACATCTGTGGATTTTAATGTAACTTTTTTTTCCCCCTCCCAGCGTTCCTGTAGCGGCCATGAATCCGCCATTCTTGTCACATTCCTCGTACCAGGAAGGGAAAATGAAGTCAAAGAAGAGAAGCCACAACGAGAAATATCGAGTGAAGTGTCTGCGGCTGCGACGACTGGCGAAAACCATGGTGTTTGTGAGTGTGCTCTCATCACATCGTCGCCAACATTGGGGGGGAGAGAGGGAGCTGCCAATCAAATGATAGATCTTATATTCCTGACCTGTACTGGAGGAATCTGAGGCGGATTCTGATTGGCTGCAGCACCCATAACAGACATTCCTCCAATGTGGTTTCAGCCAAATCATATTCACCGGTTCACCTGTAATCCGTTCAGACCCTTCGCAGGTATTTTGCCTGTGTGAGCAGTGTATTGTAGATCCTTGCCATTCAGTCCAGTGTCATTCCTGCAGCAGTGGGACGGTCTGGGCATTCATGGTCTGATTGTACATTTGTTTGTTGATATAGCTCTGATAATGTACACAGTGCTTTACATATTGCACATTCACACCAGTCCCTGCCATCAGTCAGCATACAATCTAAAGTCTCTATTTCACACGCACTCAAGGTCCATTTAGATGGAGGAGCCAATCCTATTAGCTTGTCTTTGCAGTGTGGGAGAAAACCCACACAAGCACCAGGAGAACATGCAAACTCCAAGTGGATAGTGCCCTGGATGGGATTTGATGGGACTTCCGCTGCAAGGCGGAAGTGCTAACATACTTACATAGTTAATCAGGCTGTAAAAAGACACAAGTCCATCGACTTTAACCTATAACCACTGAGCGGCTTTGCTGCCCTTCTCTGACAACGTGTGCGTTCTTTTATTGTGTCTGTTTATTAATAAAATGTCTTATTG